TGTGCTTCCAGTGCTTCTATCTACCGGCGCCACTGAGTCTGTCTATAGCAACCTGAAGGCTGAATCAGTGAATGCTCGTGTGGGTAGGCAAAAACACGGGGCAGCCCATGGCTGGCACGCTTCTAATCATAATTGTTGCCTGCCAACCTGCAATGCACATGTGTCTGCAATGCATAGAGATTAAGTGGGTGCGAAAGTGTAGCTGATATATTTGTTCCAATTGACTACGAAAGTCAAACAAGAATAAAGAAGACTTATGTATAAGACGTCTTGCTATGCACAAATGAATTTATCAGCAGAACCCCAGACACCAGATGAGCCCTGTCGCACTGCGGCACTTGTTAGTTTTTGCATTAACACACACATTGCAAAATATCCCAAATGACCACAATCATATTTGTAAATGTTTCTGTAAACAGAAACGCTCCTGTGAATTGAAGTACGATGTTAGTGAAGAGAATTATAGATCGAAAACGTAGACTAGTCCTATCCTTACCATGTTATATATAGGCAACTTATACCCCCTCTTATCTGATGATCTGATCTCATAATGGCGGCGGGGACTTCCCGATATGGCTTATAGATTTAATCATTACCTAGACATCGTGTGTTTTTCTCAGGTTGATAAAACGAGATAACTTGATCACGTTAGGTGAGTCCCATAGACTGCCATGTTGCGCATCTGTTACGACCAGAAGAAATACGGCGTGCAGCTGGCAAGAACAACTATAGACTTGTTGCTGTTGTTAGCAGGCTACTTAATTATGAATAGCACTCTCTTTACTACGCTACTGTGTAGGAATATGCAGCAAATACTAAGTGCAAAGTTTCTAATGAAATGTGCCACTTTTAATACTTGGGTGGCTCACGCGAGCTATGCGCGAGGCTGTAGAAACTGCCTGTTGTATAAATACTGGAGGAAATGCAATATAGCGGTTGTAAATGTTTCATTCCAGGTGGGGTGATCACTAGATTCCACTAATATAGTATGTAAAATTTCAAATATATTCATGCCGTTGAGAGATGTTTGAAACGTGATTGAAAGCGCTTTGCAGGCTGTCACACTGATACTCATTCCATGAAAAGTAAATCCATCCAGTTGATCATCCATTAAATCTATCTATGTCAGGCATTATATATGTGCTTTATATCATATATGCTAATGATAAAATAGCATATATCACATAGCATATATCATATAATATCATGATGATATCATATAATATAATATATATCATATCATATATATGATATAGCATATATCATATCATATATATGATATAGCATATATCATATAAAATAGCATATATCGTTAGGTATCACGATTGTATAATACTCAACTGGGGTCATGTTAGCAAAAACCCAAGAATGTTATTCAACAGACAAGAAAATTGCTACTCGTGTGTTGTTTTTTCAAAGAATTTGTTGTGTGAAAACATTGCAAGACATTTGGGTTAGAACTCCGTATTTGATAGGAACAAAATCCCCACATTTTAATGGGGAAGCTTTTTTGCACGCCTTAGAAACAAACTTTATTGATTCGTAGCTTGATGTTATTTTATCTTCTTTAACTGTTGTGATGTTGTTATGTAAAACTAGAGATCACTGTGTCGAAATTTATTAAGCTATTAGCAGCTACATGCTCACCCGCTTTGGAGCTATCCAATGAAGAATTCTCTCGTTTATTAAAAGATGTAGTTTTTTGCTCTACACTAATTTCTAAAGCGTCCAGCTCAATGTTGTTTGTAGTTGCTATGCTGGCATGTACTATTGTTGCTCAACACTAGAGATCGTCTTGAAATTCAGTTAAAGCAAACTTAAACCTTTCCCACACACACACACACACACACACACACACACACACACACACACACACACCCACACGCACGGACGCACTCGCAGCTAAGAAATTATTTGCTGGATCTGCTGGATCAATATTATGCACTTATAATTATATGCCCATTGTATGCACTAACTACCATGCTATTTCTTCATATTTGTTAAATATAAAAACGTGTACATACAATTAGTGATTTACTGTATATTTAATGTTAAAATAAAGTTATTAATTTAATGTTCTGTTGATTTCATTTTATCTTCCACCACCACCACCATCTCCTCATCTGCTCCACTACTTCCACATTCTCGTCATACACCTCCTCCTCCTCCTCCTCCTCCTCCTCCTCCTCCTCCTCCTCCTCCTCCTCCTCCTCCTCCTCCTCCTCCTCCTCCTCATTCACCTCTCACTCGTCATCACTCTCCTTATTGTTCACCCACATTTTCACCGCATCCATGTCGCTCTACTTACCGCTTCTACCTCCTATTCTTTTTATACTCTTTCCCAAACCACTCCTTCCCTCTCCTCCTCCTTCGCTTCCCTCTCCCGCTCCTCCACGCTGAAATGAAAAAAATATAGCGTCTTCTAATATCACGCTTTGTGCGTAAAACGGACCGTACAAAAACATTTCCGTGTAGCGATCGAAGCGCAACTGACCGCTGGGTCCTCTTCTATCGAAAACTTTGTTCCATCAGGTCAGTGGTTTCGCAACCTAACAAGATGTTCTGTATTCTGTGGTCTCTCTGATGTTTGCTGTAAGCTGCTGGTGCGTACGGTAGGGTATCGAAGAATCCCGCCTCCCAGCCCCAGCCCCTTCGCGCATAACTTGGCTTCGTGCCAACTACGTAGCCAGCCGTCGACTGTTCTGGAGCAAGGCCCATAGATAAACATATACATATTTATAGGCCTTGTTCTGAAACAACTGACGTGAAATAATAACGCATGCGTACGCATGCGCGTGTAATCTGTTGCTGCCGCGCCTGCAGCGTTCGTGTTTTGTCACGGGGCGATGTTGTTGAGGGGGCGTTCATAGACGGTAGACCGCATGCCCGAATAAATTGACGCAATAATTGACGCAATAATTGACGAATAAGCATGACGCAAAAATTGCTAAAAGAATAACGTTTCAGTGCACGCACAGCAAATATTTCATTCATGCGGGATGACCACAGATTTAAGGGCCAGAGTTCACACAAAACCTTTGTCAGCGATATGATGCAAACTTCCAACAAGTTTTCCGGATCCCGTTTCACAAAAAGTGGCCCGGTCACTATGGCGGCGACGTTTGACAGAATAGCGTAATTTTTCCATAAGACCAATTTCACTTTTAATGCTTTCTGGCCGTGTATGAGGTATCCAACTTACGTGCACAATGCAGATTAGTGCACTCTAATGCCGAATGTTACCACAAAAAGTGAAAAAGGTGCGTTTTTTCATGGACAATGTCAAAGTATTGCAACAATTGGTAAACAATAGGCGGAACTGTTGCGTGTCACCGATAAATAGAACTGCGTGTGCGCGTACGTGTGCTTCTATCTGACAGCTCTCTATCTTGTTATATATATATGTGGTGCGCGATCAGCTCATACGTATTTTTAGATCGCGGCAGCACTGTGTAACGACGTGCCTATCGCTGTCGTAAGCTACAACGCTGCTTCAGTGCTTGCGCAATAGATCATCTGAGTACTGCGTCGGTCTCCGAATCCTATTTGGAGGAAAGATATTAGCGCGCTATATTAGCGACTTTATAGCGTCGCTATAGCTGTCGTCGACGCGATGTTGCGAAGCTGTGGTTTTGTTGCGGCGAGCGCCGCGAGAGCGTTCTCTCGGCACGTTAACGCGGCGAGTAGTGTACCACAGCGTGTATCGCTGGCCGAATCCGACCACCTGCTGTCCGTAGACTGGAAGGATGGCCACAGCAGCGCCTACCCTCTCGTCTGGCTGCTCGACAACTGCCCGTCGAGGATCAACAGCGGTAACGGGCAGCGCGTCGGGCGTCTGACGAGACGCGAGCTGCGTCTGAGAGCTGCCTCCGTCTCCCTCGAGAAGGGCCGTCTCGTCGTGCGCTGGGAGAACGGAGAGCTGAGCGTCTTCCCCGTCGATTGGCTGCGTCGGCACTGCTTTTCGCCGACGTCGCGGCACGCGTTCGTCAGCGACCACGCCGACGACGCGAAGCTGTGGGACGCCGACAGAATCCGACGCGAGCTGTTCACGTGCGCGTTTGCCGACGTCATCGCCGACGACGCCGTGCTCTTCCGACTGCTGTTCAATCTGGACAACGTCGGCATTTGCTTGATCAAGGAAGCGCCGAAAACAGAGGGACAGCTCGCTAGACTTTGCGCGCGAGTTGGCTTCGTACGTGAGACTCACTATGGGTAAGCATGCACGCGTGCAGCATGTCCGTAATTGTATCCCCCGGGACGAAGTCGGCGGGGATACTATGGTTTCATGTCTCCTCAGCCGCCGCCGCCGCTCGGTCCGCCGCAGAGAATTTCCCTTCCGCTCTATAACTCGACCCCCTAATTGACCTAGCGCTACCAAACTTGGTATACTTACTCATCTTGGGGAGAAGGTGAGCAGCGTACCAAAACCAGGTCACTGCGACGTTTATTTGATCTTTACCTTGACCTTGATCATATTTCCCTTCCGCTCTCTAACTCGGCTCCTCATTGACCTAGCGCTACCAAACTTGGTATACTTACACATCTTGGGGACAAGGTGAGCAGCGTACCAAAACCAGGTCACTGCGACCTTTATTTGACCTTTACCTTGACCTTGATCATATTTCCTTTCCGCTCTCTAACTCGGCCCCTAATTAACCTAGCGCTACCAAACTTGGTATACTTACACATCTAGGGGAGAAGGTGAACAGCGTACCAAAACCAGGTCACTGCGACCTTTATTTGACCTTTACTTTAACCTTGATCATATTTTCCTTCCGCTTTCTAATTCGGCCCCTAATTGACCTAGCGCTAGCAAAACCAGGTCACTACGACCTTTATTGGACCTTTATGTTGACCTTGATCATATTTCCCTTCTGCTCTATAACTCGGCCCCTAATTGACCTAGCGCTACCAAACTTGGTATACTTACACATCTTGGGGAGAAGGTGTGTCGCGTACCAAAACCAGGTCACTACGACATTTATTTGACCTTGACCTTGATCATATTTCCCTTCCACTCTATAACTCGGCCCCTAATTGACCTAGCGCGCCCAGACTTGGTATACTTACACATCTTGGGGAGAAGGTGTGTCGCGTACCGAAACCAGGTCACTGCGAACTTTCTTTGACCTTGACCTTGACTGACCTTCATCATATTTCCCTTCCGCTCTATAACTCGGCCCCTAATTCACCTAGCGCGACCAAACTTCGTATACTTACACATCTTGGGGAGAACACGGGGGATACATGTAGTTGGCGACAACTGCCCTTTCTAGTTCATAACATATATTTATATACGCGCCCGTTAATTTTTTTTTCCAATCATAGAGCAAACTAATTTTAGTTGCTACCCCTAACCTACTAATTATGGTAGAATGACAGCTTGAATCTTTCCACCGCCAACTTTTTTACGATATTTGCACTTTGGCATTACGAAACAGCAGATCTGTGTTAAGAAAATAATTAAATTGAAATAACTTAGACGGGTCTTACATTTGTGAATGGCTCGCGCTAGCTTCAGAAATATCTATGTTTTTCGTGATTATTTTTCTAATATAAAGCCACAAAAGCGTTTGGCTTTTAAACAACGTAACCCGGCCTCCTTTCACATCTACCCCACCCCCGCAACATCCGAAATAAATCATTAACGGCCTGTGAACGATGAATTTGAATAAACGTCGGATTGACTGATACATAGTCGTGGTATTTCGCTGTTGCAGTACCTACTTTACGGTCAAGTCGAAGGAAAATCCTAACAATAACGCCTACACAAGTTCAGCCCTCGACCTTCACGTTGATTTACCGCAGATAACTCGTACACCTGACGTGAGTATATATCAGAAGTAGATAATAGGGGATTCCCTATTATCTACTTCTGATGCTATGGTAGTGTAGTGACGAAATAGTGAGGTACATTGGGCTATCTCTTATCTTTATCCACTGATGGATAGACCGAATTAGCTACTGTTGCAAACTTGCCATGGCCAACAACTCGGTTCGGGAATACACAAGCGCTCATGTTTCTAACTATTCGTCGAAATCCATCCATGCGTCGTATGGGTGAAGGTTAATGGAGGACCTTAACGTAGAGCTTTCTCCTAAAATAACTAATATTACATTGCGCTTCGTACCGTCGTACTCTCAATCTGCGAGGCGGCCTTGAAATAAAAGGACACCCTTTATACGTTACCATTTTCACGAACCGCACATTTTTGTCCAAAAAACAGTTTCTTCTTAAATATCAGTACGAGGATGCTTGCGCGCTTTTCTGGGAGTGCTCCCCCGCCGTGGAACGTGTGATACAGTACAAATTGCCTGTTTTGTATACAAACCACACATTTTGGCTAGTCTCGATGATTACTGTCACTGCGACAGACGCGAGTCCAACTATAACCGCTAATTCGTATGCTGTTCGTGAATTTATATTTTTAATGTTTCGTGTATTGTTGTATTTCTTGTTTTCGTTATATAGACGGGAATCGGCTGTGCTACGACTATTTGGGTCTTCATGTATGCGAACCCTAGCTGCTGCTGTGGGAGGTCTGTTATTAGTATTGTGTCAGTGCAATGCATGCAATAACGTATTCAAACATTAGACGCTGAGAGATAGCAAAACACACGCATTCTCGTGCGCATTACAGTTTCAGTTTCTGCACTGCATCACCCAGGCGGGCGAGGGCGGGGAGAACTGCTTCGTTGATGGATTCAGGGTTGCACAGGTACTGAGGGACAAGTACCCAGACGATTACTACCTGTTGACAACGACGAAGCTACAGTATACCGATCGAGGATGCGAGCCCGATACGGGACTGTTGTTTCACAACACGACTATGCGATGCCCCATAGAGTACGTTCCTTTTCTTACTTACTAGAATGAATGACATCCGTACGTACATATAGACGTAAGAATATTCTCGAACTCGCAGGATTTTTTTGTTTGTTCGTCTGCGCCGTATGCTTAATGCGAAATGAGAGCGACTGATATTCGTACGAATAAATTATTTTTTGCCTAATTGCATTTTGCGTGTAAGATTGGCGAGCAACGGCGACGTGAAGAGAGTGTACATCAACAACCACACACGATCATCGTTCATCGACGCCGACCCTAAGAAAATCTTAAGAGTGTACGAAGCGTGGACAAGATTCTACGACCTGTCTTACGAAGCAAGACACTTGTTCAGGATCAAGCTAACGAGTGGTGCGTATATATATACTGTCCATCGGCTACGAATTTACGTAAAGGGGCAAGAGGAAGTGATCTGATTCTGATTTCTATTGTTTCCTACAGTGCTAACTAATTTCTATATTTAGTAATTTCTGGTATGCTTTCTCATATTGCGCTTATATTGATCGCGTACGTGGTTGATGCATGGTGTTGGTATTGTTACACACTTGATAAGCCGTCATACGCGCTTACAGTCTGTGCTGCTTGCGCTCAATATGGTATACTACCGATTACGATCAATGTAAATTTTCCCCGACTTTAATTTTGATTTGTACATTTGTGGTGCAGGTCGGCGTGTGGCTTATATTATAGCGTGACGAATTATCTATTTGTTTACAGCACAACTGCGCACATAAGTGTACTAGATCACGCGCGTCTAGATTTGTTTGTAGAGTAATAATAGATCAGTAGCGACCAGTTTAAACCAGAGCAGGTATATCAATATTGGGAAATCTCTGGTTTAGAACCGATATATATACTACCGACCCGTGGCTTACAACTGCGCAGTAGATCCAGTGTATACTGGTAAAGCGTATATGAATGCCATATATAGCGGTTACTGACCGTTACTCTGAGTTCACGAACGTGTTTTACTTATCTGTATATTCGTAGTGGCCAGCAATCAATGCCGACATCAGTCCAATGTTAGGAAGGCTGTGCCCAACACAGTAGCACCGCACCGTATACAGGTCATATCACCATGTCACGCACAATCGTATCTTTCTATCTATCTATCTATCGATCTATCTCTCTCTGTATATATATATATATGTCTATCCACCCATATTTCCACATACATGTCTATCAGGAGTGTATAATAGGGATTATAGTGTATAATAGGGATCCCTATTATACACTCCTGATGTCTATGCATCTATCCATCTACCTATCCATCCGCCCACCCGCTCGTACGTCCGTCCGTCCGCCTGCCTGCCTATTCACACGTGTGTGCGTTCACGTGTTCGTTCGTTCGTGCGTGCGTTCACGTGTTCGTTCGTTCGTGCGTGCGTTCACGTGTTCGTTCGTTCGTGCGTGCGTTCACGTGTTCGTTCGTTCGTGCGTGCGTTCACGTG